GAAAGACAATAACATATGATTTCATTCATATGTGTAATTTAAAAAATAAATGAAAAAAGGAGACAAAGACTCTTACACACAGAGAACAAACTGTTAGTTGCCAGAGGGGAGCTGGGTGGGGATGTGTGTGAAATGGACATAAGGGGGTCAAGAGCAAACTTATCTTGATGAGCACTGAGACATTTAGATTGTTGAATCATTATATGTACACTTGAAACTAATATAACATTGTATGTTAATTATACTTATTCCGGGTGCCTGGGTGGCTCAGTCTGTTAAGCAACTGACTTCAGCTCAGGTCACGATCTCACAGTTCATGAGTTAGAGTCCGCCATTGAACTCTGTGCTGACAGCTCAGAGCCTGGGGCCTGCTTCAGGTTCTGTGTCTCCCTCTCTCTCTGCCCCTCCCCTGCTCACACTCTGTCTCTCTCTCTCTCAAATAAAAAATTAAAAAATTTTAATAAACAAATATATAAAATAAAAAGAATATATGTGGCATATGGTCTGCATAAATCATCTTGAGTGAGTGATAGGTACAAAGGTAGAACTGACTGGCTTTAAAGTATTTTTTATTGCCTCTACTCAAAGAAGAGTACTTGCCTGAGTGCTTAGTAACTGTTGTAAAAATTAAAATTCACCATTCCATTCCTTCTGCTTCTCCAAACAAAATATCTTGTTTCTCAAGCTCTCTACTCTTGTCTTTCCCATTAAAAACACAAAACATTGTTGGGCACTGAATAAAATGAATATTTCTTCTTACCAGAGAAGTTGAGCATCTGGTCAATGTCTTTTTGTTCTTGCTGCTGTTGAAATACTTCTTTCTGTCCTTCTCTTTTTTATATAGAAACTTTTGAAATTAATTATATTTTACAGAAATGTGCACAGATGCTAAGTGAGCAAACTGAGGATTTGACACAAAGTATGAATTGTGTAATGGCTGCCCAGATCAAGAAATTGAATACCGCTGTCACCCAAGAGGACCGTGTTCTCTCCACTTCCCAGAACAATCTCTCATCTCCGCAAAGATAATCAGCAGTAATTTTGTATTCTTTCAGATTCATATGCTATGTATTCTTTTGTGTCTGGCTTCTTTCATATGTTAATCTATTTGAGATTAATTCTTGGTATGGATTATAGAAAAAGTCAATTCCCTTTATAAAACACACAAGACAATAATATTCTACAATGTATCAATTTTCAAGCAGTTTGCAATTAATGTTGGCTATAAATCTAAAGCTGCTATGAACATTCTGGTACATTCTGTTAGGACTACTTATATGAACACATTCCATTGAGTATTTGGTTAGGAATGAATTGCTCTGCCAAAGATTTATTAGTTATTGCTGAACAGTTTTCCAAAGTGATTTTTCAAATTTGTATTTGTATATAGGTAAAGTTCTGCCCTTACCATCAAATGGTAATTTAATTTTCAGCTCTTTAAATGCATTATTCCTATATCTTCTTTTGTTGCTATTGAGAGATCAACTGTCAATCTAATTATCTATTTGGAGGCAATAAGGGTTTTTTTTTTTTTCCTTTTTCTTTTTCTTGCTGTTATAAAGCATTACAACACATCTGGTAGTTTTGTAGGATCCTTAATTTGACAGTACATATCTCCGTCTAGTTCTAGTAAATTCTCAACTGTTATTGTTATAAAATACTTCTAAGTATCTGCATTCTCTCAGTTTGAAACTCCTACTATATGGAGTATCACCTTCTTTTCCCAGGATCTATCACCTCTTCTCTTTTTTTACATTTATTTTTCCTCGACATTTGCAGTTTTAGTATTTTTCCAGCTCTAACTCTTATCCACTTATTCTATCTTCTGCTATGCTTCTGTTTAAACCATTCAGTCCTGTTTTAATTTCAATGAATCCACTGTTTTTGCCATTTTTTAAAGATTTTTAAAGACATTCCTACATCTTCCTGAATATTAAATACTTTCTTTTTTGAAAAATTTCAATTGCATTGTATATTTATTTTTACCACATAAAATATGTGTTTACACAGTCCTTATCTGATAATTTCACCTGAAAGTTTGGCACCAAAAATTATGCTTCAAACCTCCTTACTCTGATGAACGTTTTGTATATTTTGAGACTACATGTTACTCAGGACTTCATCTTTAGAAATAAAGATTTCATCCCCTCAGCGATGCTTTTGCATTTGTTTTCATTACATGTCCATTAGATGTCTGCAGGAAAAACAATTTTCTTAGGTTATTTTCTCATTTTGTGGGTGCCAGTACAGCTGAGAATTCAAACCCTAATAAGAATATTTACAAATGAGTGGAAATTTTTTTTTTCTTAGCACCCAGAGCAAGGCCAAGAAAGGCTTCCTTCATACCTCTTGCTCCTAGTGAATATATATAGATAGATAGATCTATAGAATATATATAGATCTAGATTAGATAGATAGATACAGGTACATATATGCATATATATATTCAGCTCAGCTCTTCATTGAATGTGATATCTTGGATGCCTGTGAAGGTCTCAATTACAACTATCTTCTCAAATTTGCCAAAGGCTTTTCTTCTGCATGTGTAACCCTTAATTCCCAAGTCCTTTAGTTACAATGATTGGCAACATTTACTAACGGCTTGAATTTTCAGTTTTTCTTTCTTTTTACTGCCTTGGAGACTTTTTTTACTCCATTCTGAGTTTAGGTATGCAGGGAGAAAATTGGATTTATATAACATTTTAGTTATTTTGAAATAGGAGATTTTTCTGGCTATCTGGTCTGAAAAAATCCCAGAGAGAGAATACTCTTAACAGTCTTAAAGCTCTTCAGGAATTAGATGGTTTCTGATTTCCTTTGCCTTCCTCGTATCAAAGTAACTGCCAAGTAAATAGTATTCAATAAATTTCACTCAGTTCCTGGCTGACAGAATGAATAAAATGAATTGAATTATAAAACCATGTATGTAACGTTAGTATTGTTATTACCAGTTACTGTTACTAATGTCAGTAATACTAGAGAATAAGATGAAGGCTGGTATCATGAGAAGCTAAACATGAAGAAGTAGGTAGCAATCAGATGAGTTTATGTCTTTCATGTAATTTTAAGGGATGTGATTTTAATTCAAAAGAAATATCACTGAAGGGTTTAAGATTATTTGATATTATGTCAAGGTCATAGAAGAAGTCCATTATATTCAGAGTATAGCTCTTCTGAGAAACAGAACCAATATATGTATACATACACATATATTACATGTATATGACTATATATGCATATATAGTCATAGTTGTTATAAATTTATATTGTATATTAAAATATATACATATATATATATACATATATATATATCCTCATATCCTGGATATACATACAAGAGAGAGGGGGTGGATTTTAAGAAACTGGCTCATATGATTATGGAGATTTGCAAGTCTGAAATTTGTAGATTAGGTTGGCAGACTAAAAATTCAGGTGACTCTCCTGGGTGGCCCAGTCAGATAAGCTTCCCACTTTGGCTCAGGTCTTGATCTCAAAGTTCCTGAGTTCAAGCCACATCTAGCTCCTTGCTGTTAGTGCACAGCCCACTTCAGATCCTCTGTCGCCTTCTCTCTCTGCCCCTCCGTTGCTGGCACGCTCTTTAAAAAAAAAAAAGTAAAAAGTGAAAGAAATTCACGTGACTTCATGTTGTAGTCTTTGGTTTGAAATCTATCTGCAGGGCAGGCCAGCAGGGGGGCAATTTAGGCAGAGTTTCTGTTCCTATCGTGAGGCAAAATTGCTTCTCCCTCCAGAAACCTGTCTTTATTCTTAGGGAATTAAACTGTTTGGATGAGGCCCACCCTTATAATGGAGAATATATGTTTTATTCAAAGGCTATTGATTATAAATGTTAATTACATCTAAAAAGCATCGTCATAACAACAAGTAGGCAAGTATTTGACCAAACACCTGGGCACTCTACTTAGCCAATTTTACATGTAAGTTAACCGCCACTTGCCTGAATATAAACAAAACCAGTAAAATCAAAAGATAATTTTAACAGACAAGGGGAATGTGAAAGCTAATTGTGGTCTGAAACCCTTTCCTTGATGTACAGGTATGTCCTAAGTCTTCTCAACTCAGTGTTCCACTGGCTACTACCAAGTGGTCACATTCATTATACAAGATAGAAACTATCAATTAGCTTATTGTGTGAGATCGATTTATTCTAAATGGCTAGATAATATTTCTACAGAAGACAAAAAATGACTTTCATATTTGGGACAGAGCCCGAATAAATAAATCTATACATTAATTATATACATTAATAATATATGAAACATTTAAATTAAAATATAATATACAACATATTATATTGCAGTACAATCTGAGCTCTTCATTTCCCCCCAAATAGAATTTTTCCCTCTTTGCTATATTTTAGTTCTCTCACCCATGAGGATGAAAGAAAGCTTTAAAATGGTGTTTCTCAGTAGAGGACCATCAAGAGTGAATACTTAAAATGACATTCATGCAGTAGAAACAGCAATATACTGCTGGCTTCAAGTCTTTGAAATTCAGCTGGGATTTAAGGAGTCTACATAACACCATGCACTATCATGTGTCATTTTCACTGCTCAGAGACCAGAAAAAATGTTCCTTGATTCTCAGTTATCACTAATCTAGTATTCTTTTTGCATAAAGGCTTAAACCAAAATCCTCCAAGGAAAAATAATCTGTCAGGACATTTTTTGGTTTCCCTCTTAGAATACTGAATACAACATGAATTCCAAGACAGAATCTGAGGAGTTAACAAGCATGGGAGCAATTTAAGAAAAACAAATGTTTCTTTTTTTCCAAGGGGGGCTAGCACAGAGAAAGGAGTGCTAAGTCAGCAGTATATTTAAGCAGTCATATACAAAATTAGATGTTGATCCAAGTCACAACTGAATACATTCTTTTAGAACGAATATCAGCTGTTTTTAGCATATGGGTAAGGAGACAGAAAATAGATTCAGATTTAATTTCAAGTGTCCCATGCAGTATCATAGATAAGAGAGACTAAATAGCCATGTTGCTATTTAATTCAATAAGTCTTTTCGGTTACATTAGGATTTTATGCTGCTCTGAGGGAGGGGTTCTTCATTCCCATAAAATCTGAAAGAAAGAAAAAAATAGAGATTACTAAGTGCAAAAATTTCTCATGAATAATGGAATAATTTTATATCCTTTGAGATTGTGGCTATATAAAATGTCTAACTAGTTTGGATTACATCTGTGCATCTATAAACCTAGATTATAATAATATTTTCCTTCATTAAAAACTTTGGTTTTTCTTCCAGGGGAGAAAGAACACTGGAGATGAAGCTACTTCTGGATTGCTACCAAAACTTAACAAATGGTGGCCACTCTGAGTCTCTGGATGGTCTTAAGGACTCTTGGTATTGGTTTCAGATTAAAGTATGTGATAAATCTCCACCCAAGAAATTAATAAGAAGTCCTTTTTTTCCTTTAAAACAGCACATGTGCCCATAGTATTTTTCTTCTCATAATTATCCTACCCCAAGCCACACACTATTGTCCCTATTTTCTCTAACTGATGCCTTATCTGTTGAAAATATGGCTAAAGCCACCTTTACTTGACTCTAGCAGGTGGAGACATGTTTTGTGGCACTCTGGCACTGGGAATGTGACAATAGGCTACTCTGATTTTTTTTAAGGCTCTAGAATGGAAAATTTAGATGGAACATATGCTTTCAGTTTCTATCATAGTTAAAATCCAGAATTGTCAAAGCTGGTATAGAGTCTATCAATTCCTCATTGGATTTTTTTTTCACTTCATCTAGGATGGTTAATGAAATAACAGAATGGGGTAAAAGGAAAGTAAAAAGAGAACTACAGTTAGAATGAGAGGGAGAGAAAACTAGGAAGAAAGGGGAGGGAGAGGGTGGAGAGGAAGAGGAGAGAGGGAGAGAGAGGAGGGACGGGGGAGAGAGAGAAAGGGAGATGGGGGAAAGGAGGGAAGGAAGAAATGGAAGAAGGAAAGGAGAGAGGGAGAGGGGGAGGGAAGGGAGGGAAGGAAGGAAGGAAGGAAGGAAGGAAGGAAGGAAGGAAGGAAGGAAGGAAGGAAGGAAGGGAGGGAGGGAGGAAGGAAGGAAGGAAGGGAGGGAGGGAGGGAGGAAGGAATGATGGACAGCTATTCTCCATTTTGGAGTATTTTTTTCGGTAGTTAGCACATATCCTATTGGAGGCTTCTTATCTGGCAGGAAATGTGATTCTTTTTCTCCTTTATAAATCAAGCTGGCTCCTCATTTATTTTGTTTGGTTTTAGTATCTTTTGGTTTTGGCTACGTTTTATAAATAAAAAGCCCTTTAACTAACTTGTTCATGTTTGAAAATCCAAATGTTTTTCCCTGGGCTTTCAATAGTTGTGTTTCTCCACAGAATACATCTAAAAAGATAAACATGCATTCAACTTTCACTTGACCAGCATATGCCAGTTTATTTTGTGTTTTAGGTGGTGTGCTCTCTGTATAATGTTTAGATCATTAGTGTCAAGGTTAGGATAGTTTAAATACATAGTGGATGAAATGCAGTGATGCTAAACGTGTGATGGTTTTAATTTGCTATCACAGAGAACATGAATCTACAGGGAAACTAAAACAATGAAGCTTCCATAGCTGCCTTGGCCCAACTGCCTTAGCTCTGTAAAATCTCCCTGCATGCAATTGTAACTATGGAAGGTTTGGGTTGTTTTGGAATTGCTTATATTTGTGGAGATTTCAGCAACAATTCCCAAAATTTTTGAGTTTCATAATTAATGTATCCTTAAATACAAATATAATGTATCCTTAAATATAAAGGAATAAATCTATTAATCCTTCATTTAAAAAAGAAGAGAAAACTTCCGGTATTGTTTATGTAGATAGTGTAAAAAGGAATTAAGGAAGAAAACAAAATGGAAACAGTAAAGAGAATGTAAGGGAGCAGGGGGGCATGGGTGATATTTATTTTAAAAAATGGAAGTATTACCAGAGGAATTGCTGAGACTCGGAGGACTCTTTCTCTTACAAAAGTCTGAAACAAGAAAAGTTCTAAATTTAAAATTTCACTAATCAATCATCTGTTAGATTTAAGAATTCCTATAAAGGTTACCATGGAGCTTCAACACGCAGCATTGTACATATTCCTTCCCTCATTGCTAGTTGGCTAACTGCAACTGGGACAGTCCTCCTGGACCTGAGGCTGAATGCTTCCTAGCAGAACAAGTTCATTGCACTGTGTGACCTGTTCCATGGGGAGCCAGCTGTCCCTGCCGCCTATTGACTTTTGTTTGAAACTTGCTCTGAGCTTTGCTAGTTTGGTTAAGCATCTTTCAGGCAACTCGTGTATAACATCTTTTATTCTACTCACTACTGTGTATCTTCCTGTGTCATAATTCGTTCTACATGGTTCTTAGCTCGCTTGGTGGATTGTTCTACATTGGAAAGAAACCAACCTTTAGCATTCTTCATGTTACTCTCTGAATATATGCTTAATTGGTATTTTTTATTTGAAGAAGATATTGTTAAGTATTTTTCAGGAAGCCCTCAAGTCACAGCGAATTTCAGGAGAAAGCAGGGAATTTTATAAAGAAAACAGCATCAGGAAAGTAAACAATAAGTGATCTAAAATAAAGTAATGAACAGTGAGAGTGAGTATGATAGGAGATGAACAGGAATAACAATCTATTATCCTTTATAAGGTTAACAATCACACAGTAGTCTGATAAGACTTCTCACTTCTTCCTGATCTGCCTGACAAGGGATGCACAGACTTTTCTAGAGGACATGGATAGTATTGGCAGCTGAGCAGCAGCGGGGCTTCAGAAGTCATCAGACCCCCAGAATAAACCCTGTGCTCAGAGCAGAAGGCAGGACCTAACTTCCTCAGGTTCATCTTGCCCCACCTCAGGCTTTGAGCAGGCCAGTCTCATTTGGACATTTACCCAAAGCCTATAGACTTTAGGGATTTTAAGAGGCTGGCTGGAAGATGCCTGCATTATAACTGGCTGTGGGGAAGTAAGGACCCACAAGTATCCACTGGAAAGGGTTTCCTGGAAAGATGTGATAATATACATAGTACTGCCTGTTTATCCTTATAATTTTGCTCAACCTAGACTAAATACTCAATCAACGGTCCAGAGAAAAGTTGCCAACAAAGGGCACAGTTTCCATTTAAGAGAGAAGGAAAAAAAATTGATAAAACAGATAATTCTCTTTTTCCAGCATGTGTTTAAAATTAGGATTTTGGCTTCCTGCAGATCCTTATTTCATTCATTTATACAGCTGGGCACTTTGTTTTGGAGATGTAGAGAGGCTGCTTGAAAGACCAAGAAAGCTAAGTTTTTAAAAAGCATTAAATTGGATCAGTTTAGAAAATCCTAATGCGAGGCCCGTATCAACTTCAATGACTCCAAGGGAGTTGTTAGAGATGTTTTATACATTTGCAATCCTTAGCATAAAATAAACCAGGCACATCAAATGGAATAATGTGTGTGGGTTTCTCCTTTCTTGGTTCTGCTCATGTCCATTAATGATAACATGTGCATATGTCCAAGAAACAAAACAAAACAAAAACAAAAAAAGCAACATCAAACCACCCTCCTTTTATAAGCCATTTTCAGTTCTGATATGTTGACTGAATGAAGTTTGTGCAATGAGCTATTCTATCTTTAGAAGAGCAATCTTTTCTTCATCATATGTGGCTCTTAATGTGCCCTTTATGCTATTTTCTGAATGTTGATAGTTTGCCCGTAACAAGAAAAATATGTCTGGCCCACTGATCAAAACTATCAAAATCTTTCTCAAACTGAGGGCTAGCAGACAGAACTATTTGTCAACAGCATGTATTCCCCTCAGGTAATTTTGATTCTTTCTTTTTCTTATTTTTAGTACCTCTTCTATCAAGCCTCTTAAATTCATGCCTAGCATGTCAACAGCACTTTAAAAACAGCTGTCTACTACTGGCTTTGGAGAACAGCACAGGATTAGGCAAGGAGAGAAAGAGTTAATTCCTGCAGTTTTCACACTGGAATAAAGTTAATAGGCTGCCAATAACACGGGTTATAGTTGCAAAAGCTAAAGTTATAAGTAATCCTAAAGGGAAAGAGGAAAATTGTTCCTGACAAGCTGAAATTACTTTATAAAACCTCTTATGTGTGAGAAGCCCTAGGTTGGTCAGGGCATGAAGCTTATTTCAATGTTTAACTCAGCCTGTTTATAAAGAAAATATCTTGCCCAATATCCATTTTCCTAAAGTGTGCCCTTTAACCTGCTATTTTTTGTTTCTTTTTATTGTTGGCATGGTGACTAAGAAGCACTCCACTAGACTGATCAATGCATCGTTACATCAACATAACGTTTTCAGTCAAGTTCCCAGGAGCCTTCCTCCTGAATCTGTCATTTTGATTCAGATAACTAAATCAGGCTAAGCACAGAGATGATAACGGATGACTTGCCTCATTAGCTGACTCCTGCTGCTTTATGCTGCCAGGAAGCTCTACAGTGCCTGCCTAGGATCTTGGGAGAGATAACCGTTTTTTGAAATTATTTTGGTGCATTTTTCTTGTAACTCTCATCTTGCATTTTGACAGTAATTTTATAGGATGACATATGTACTAAATCCATATTCCTGGATCTTCTTTCTTTAAATATGTGTCATGTGATTGGTTTTATGAAGACTGAGCCAACAGCAGGCTTAATCTAGGGGACTATTTAAAACTGTCCTTCAGTTTGTCTCCTTCAAATGTTACAAATCTGATAGCATAGCATTTTAATTAATAGTATTAGCGACATTAAGATGATCTGTCTTCCTACATGAAAGCGGAATCTGCCGTACATGCTGTCCCAGCTCCAAAATGTTGTTTCAGTTGGGCCTTAGAACTGATTGAGCCTGAATATACAGGAATAATAGCTTTAAAGAAAAGGTCAACAAATTATTTGTGGAAAATCTGGTGTGGAGGGGAGACTAAGCAAGCAAGAAACCAAAGATTTCATTTAGTCATCATAATCTGAATTTAAGAGCCTCATCTTAGCGACTCAGGAAATTAGATACAATTATGCATGTAGCTGAAAGCTGTCTATAGAAAAAAAATTAATGGGAACACACAATTGGAAGCAAAAGGAGCTGCAATTACTTTTGTTGGAACCTTCCAACGTTTGTTTGAACGTTCCAAGGATAGAGAAGATGGACAAGATAGGTGACTAGCTTTACACTAAACGCATGGTATCAAACCTCAAATAGACATTAAACATTACAAACCCTAAAATAACTCCATGGAAGTCTGTTTTCAATCTCTGAAAAGAATACACTTTTCTATTATTTCTTCTTAGCTATGATCAAACTTCTCATCTATGCTTGGGCCCCACTACTAAGACCAATAGAATCTGTTTTAGCGGATGACATTGTGCCTTAAATTATAGAGAAAATGGAAATCATGAGTTAAGGGCTTTTAGAACTTCTTGCCACAAAGCTTACTATTCTGTTTGGAAGTACACTCATGCTCCCATTGTTATAAAGAACTAAATGTCTCTCTAAAGGCGAATACCTCCACTTAGGCTACATAAAGGATATTTTATCTTTTATTATCCACATTCATTTAGACTTTTTCAATTTGGCTGTTTCTACATATCATCACCCTAAGATTATGAGTATATTCAAATACTTCTCATTGTCTCCTTCCTATCTAGCCACTCTCTGTAATTCAAAATGGCTTGGAAATATAAATTGCCTATCTCAACTTCTTTCCCTTTTCACTGTTTCCAATCTTTAAATACCTAGCTCATATCTTCACTACAACACTGGATATGCTCTGTCCTAATCATCAAAGGATGCCAGGTTGCTAAAGACAGCGGCCACTCTTCAGTTTTGATCATATTCAAACTCTCCGACATATGCTTCACAGTTGACATTCATCTTTCTTCTCAACAGAATCTCTCTGAATTTAGCTGATACTGAAATGATCCCGGATTTATTTGTACCTCAGTCTTTGGTTTCTTTCTACTTTCTGGATTCTGTACCCTCTTGGTGGATTATGTTTGCAGTTCTTCAGAACTTTGCTGTGGGCTTTTTTTCTGTATTTTCTGTTACTGGGTAATCTCATCCATTCTTGTTGCTTAATAGCTATATGTATAGCACTTCCTAAGTTTATGCACGGTCTGAGGCTTCCCTCCATACTTGTGGGAGATATACATTAAACTAAATCTATGTCATCACTACCAGAAAGCCCATAGACAACTCAGATTTGAGAGAGAAGGAAGCATTTATCTATCTATCTATCTATCTATCTATCTATCTATCTATCTATCATCTATCATCTATTTATATGTTTATATATTTTGAGAGAGTGCAAGTAGGGAAGAGCAGATAGGAAGAGAGAAAGAGAGAGAGAATCCCCAGCAGTCTCCTCACTATCAGTGTAGAGCCTGGTGTGGGGCTCTAACACACAAACTATGAGATCATGACCTGAGTCGAAACCAATAGTCAGAGGCTTAACTGACTGAGCCACCCAGATACCCCATGAAAACTTCTAAATGATTTTCAACACTTAAGTGATACACTATATTTGTTTCATGTCCATTAACTTCATAACACATGCCAACAAGTGCCCAGACACCACTTGCACATTAGTCAATTCAAAGCTCATCTAGTGTCATTGATACTTATTCTCAAGTAGGTTTGAGTTTTCAAGTACACAGAATAAAACAAAGGAAAAATTAATACCAGAAGGCTATCATTTAGAGGAAGACTACTTTAAAGCTTCACAAAGATCGACAAATGTCAACTGCTAAAACCAACTTACCTAATGATATATGAATTTTAAGCTGAAAAGGTTTTAGAGAAAAATGGCAAACGTCTAGAAAGATTTAGTTCTAAGATGTAATTGCTAGTGTTCTTAATTTTTTTTGATATTTCAAAGGATCTACATATATAAAATACAATAGAATCGGGTATAGTTGATGCAAGAAAGAAAATAGAAATTTCATCACCAGGTTTTACTTTTAAATATAGACATATGTGGCTATGTTTCTGTGCTT